CTACTACTCCTTCTCCTTCTCCTTCTCCTTCTCCTCCTCCTCCTCCTCCTTCTCCTTCTTCTTCTTCTTCTTCTCCTTCTCCTCCTCCTCCTCATCTCCTTCTTCTTGTCCTTCCTCTCCTCCTCCTCCTCTTCTCCTTCTCCTTCTCGTCCTTCCTCTCCTCCTCGTCCTCCTTGTCTTCCACTCCTTCTCCTTCTCGTCCTTGTCCTTCCTCTCCTCCTCCTCCTCCTCCTCCTCTTCTTCTCCTTCTCCTCCTTCTCCTTCTCATCCTTGTACTTCTCCTCCTCCTCCACCTCCGCCTCCTCCCCCTTCCCCTCTCCTCCTCCTCTTCTCCTCCTTCTCCTTCTCGTCCTTGTCCTTCCTCTCCTCCTCCTCCTCCCCCTCCCCCTCTCTTCCTCTTCACAAACTCTATTCCCTTCCAGCACTGATGATATTCCCTAACTGGGTAATGAAACAATTGCAACAAAACAACCTCACTCAGGGAGCCCCAAGGACTTTACCGTCTTCCTCTTCCTCCTCCCGCTCCCCTCTGTAAATCCCATTCCTTTCTAGCACTGATGATGTTACCCCGTTGGGTCATGAGACGTCTGCAAGAAAACAGCCAGGTTTAGACAGCTCCAAGGACTTTGCAATCTCCCTCCTCTCCTCCTCCCCCCCCTCCTGTTATTGTTATCTTCACAAATGTTACTTTGGGTCAGTAGGGTGGACAGATTGTGGACCTCAGACAGGAAGCATTTCACTTCCTCTAATTTGAGAAGAGTTGGCTTGTTTTTCCTTTCGCCCGGCCTCTCCTGGTGACTCAGTTTTTAGTTCCTTTCCCCGTTGGTTAGGAGACGAATTGCTTGCCTTGCCTGACTCACTCCACCAACTCTACTAGAGTTTTCAAGGGTCGCGTGGAAAGTTGTCTCCCTCTTACAAGACCTGCCAGGTGCTTCCCCAAACTTGGGAAGAGCCACAGCCTGTGCGAAGCCCCCAATTTGAACGGCCAAAATTCCTTTGTAGAATCTTCAGCCCTTAAAACTCGACTCCGAGTCTTGTTTGACGCTTCGTTCAAAACCCGAGGTGCTCAATCTGGGTACTTGAGAGACCTCCTGCTGCCAATTACCTCCCAAAGACCCGTTAGATCACACAGGGTTGGCCTCCTCCGGGTTCCGTCCACCAGCCAATGCCATCTGGCTACCACCCGGGGGAGGGCCTTCTCTGTGGCAGCTCCGGCCCTTTGGAACGAACTCCCCGCGGGGATTCGGACCCTCACCTCTCTCCAGGCCTTCCGGAAAGCCGTCAAAACCTGGCTGTGCCGGCAGGCCTGGGGTTGATGAGTTCCCCTCCCCTCTCGACTTGTATGGTTGTATGATTCTTGTTTATTTTAATCACGTGTATTGTGTTTTATGTTCCCTTTTTCCCCCTTTGAGTTGTTCGCCACCCTGAGTCCCTCCCGGAGAAGGGCGGCATACAAATAAACTAAATCTGAATCTGAATCTGAATCTGAATCAATCTATTAAAAAAAAACAGGAAAAATAAGGCCACAGTCCTAACCAAACAAAGGACTTCTCCCCCTGCTTGATGGATCTCGCTGGCAGTCAGGATGCTTTTAGCTCTCTTCAAAATCCTCCTCCTTGCCAATCTCTTTTCGCTCTTGCACAACTGTTTTGACGGCGGTTGTTACAGCAAAGGTAACAGAGGAATCGCCAGGGCCAGCTCTGAAAGCCAAGATTCCTGACCGAAGATCCGAGAATTGGAAAAAACAAACAAACCCAGAAATATTTGGGGGTTTGTCCAGCTATTTTCCTGAACCCTGTGCACATTTTGGCTGGTAATTCAGTCTCTATCCTTCTCCCTGATTTAGACAAGAACTCTGTCCTTTCAGCCTTACCTTCAATATTAGGCCACCTTCCTCTTATCTCTGTGTTGGATGTGGTTGTGGCCTGCTGGCAGCCAGTTGAGCTGGCAGAAGAGTTGGACAGTGAGGAGGTTGGGGAGGAACGTGGTCCAGTCCTGGAGGCTGAGGAAAGCTCAGACGGGGGCTCTGCGACGGAGGCAGAGAGGGAACTAGACAGCAGTCTCGTGAAGAGAAGGACCAGGGGAGACAGGAGAGCAGTCTTCCAATATTTGAGGGGCTGCCACAGAGAGGAGGGGGTCAAGCTATTCTCCAAGGCACCTGAAGGCCAGACAAGGAATAATAGATGGAAACTGACCAGGGAGAGATTCAACCTGGAAATAAGGAGGAATTTCCTGACAGTGAGAACAATCCACCCATGGAACAGAAGTTGCCTTCAGAAGTTGTGGGAGCTTCATCACTGGAGGCTTTCAAGAAGAGACTGGACTGCCATTTATCAGAAATGGTGTAGGGTGTCCTGCTTGAGCAGAAGGGGGGGGGGTTGGACTAGATGACCTACAAGACCCCTTCCAACTCTGTTAATCTGCAAATTATCATAATGTCCTTCCTGATGAATGTAAATTATCACAATGTCCTTCCTTTGATTAATGCCTGAAAGGGGTTATAATGGCCTTCAGAGTCGTTTCGTATTGGGAATTTTCAAGACGCAACTTTTGTCTGATTGCAGAAGGAACCGGAGACCAAGGAGAGGTCAGTGTTCGATATTCCAATATTTACCGAGGAGTTTTTGAACCACAGTAAAGGTGAGCAGAACGAAAGAAAAACTCACGTTCTCTTTCTTGGACATTTGGCGTGTTCTCAAAGTTTTGGCATGCGATAGAACAACACTACCGATGTCTATTCAGGACCCTCCATTGCATTCCATAGGGCTAATTCCCAGGGAAGGTGTGTGTGTGTGTGTGTGTGTAGATCAGATGAATGTTTAAACCCGGGGTGTCCAACCAGGGCAACTTTAAGACTTGTGGACTTTTAACTTTCCCCAAGCTGGGGAATTCTGGGAGTTAAAAGTCCATAAGTCTTAAAGATGCCCAGGTTGGACACCAAAAGTGGTATTCAGCGGGTTCTGACCAGTTCTGGAGAACCGATAGCGGAAATTTTGAGTAGTTCAGAGAACCGGTAAATACCACCTCTGGCTGGCCACGCCCCATCTATTCTCTGCCTCCCGAGTCCCAGCTGATTGGGAGGAAATGGGGATTTTGCAATATCCTTCCCCTGCCACGCCCACCAAGCCACACCCTCCATGCCATGCCCACCAAGCCACGCCCACAGAACTGGTAGCAATTTTTTTTTGAATCCCACCACTGTTGAAACACCCGCGGTTTAAAACCTGTAAGATTACTTCATTTTAAAAAAGGAAGACATATTTCTCTGTTGCTTTATTATAGGAATCCTTGCAGCTAATAACAGCTGAATTAAGACGATGCATTTGCCAGGAGTCTTGCAACATTTGGAGCCAAAACTGACACCCTCATAGTGCCTCTCTTAGAAGAGCTGTGCCAATTTCTGAGCTCACACAATAGTTGTGCAGGCCTAGGAAAATACACTCTTAAATCCAGGGAACACAATATATATTTTTTTTTAGTTGGCTGTAGGAAAAGTTCCTTTATGGAATTTATTCACTTATTTCGCGTAAGGCATCTGCGGAGGCCTTTGTGGCTATAATGACAGATTAAAATAAGGGTGTTTCGATTTACGTATCTTTAATGCTTGGGACGCGGTGGCTCAGTGGCTGAGACGCTCANTTACCTAGCTGGATAATGAAACGACTGCAAGAAAACCACCAAACTCAGAGTGGCCCAAGGCTCTCTTAATTTCAACCCTGAGCCACAAAAACATTCTCCTCTATCAAGGAGTCAGGTCATTCCTGCCATCTCAGAACCGAGGCCTGTCCTAGGAACACCCCGTGGTTCTTTTCACCTCCCCTCCCCCCAAGTCAGTTCACGTGTCCCCCTAACTGCCTCTTTCCAGGACCAGGAAAGCAGCCGCCATCATCATCATCATCACCATCCTTGGAGTTTGTTCATCTTAGTGACGCCTTGACACGAAGCCCGAGCAAACACCAGACCCTTTGCAATAAAAGGGTAATAAGATCTCGGCTGATGTCATTCCCGCGAGGGGTTTAAATGGTAGGGAGGCCCCCCCCCTTCCCTCTCCCCCCTCTTCCCCCCCTGAGAGATTCTTCCCATGTTGGCGAAATGTACCCGCTTAATGGAAAGGGGCTGACGGTTTCCATTAATATGCTTCCATTAAGCTGAAAGTCGTTGCTTGATCTCTGGGATTTAATTGCTTGCAGTGGGGAGGGTGCATGCGGGGAACCTCTCAAGAGAAGCGATATTTTTGTCCTTGGGGGGGTCAGCCCCCTCTCGCTTTCATCCATTCTTAAAGAGTCCGCCCTCCTCGCCGCTTTTAATGCCGGTTTCCTTTCTCACGAAAGCTGGTTTTAAACCCTGTTTGTTGCCTTAGGCAAACGTTTTCCCCTCCTGATATCTTCTTTTATAATGAATTTTATCTGAGATGGTTCCTGAAATAGAAACGGGAGGGACGGTGGCGCTTAGAGGGCGGAGTCCTTCGTTCCGTTCCTTGGTTCGATGCTGAGTGTTGCCTTGTGTGAGGCCTTGCAAAATGATGCCCGCCCCAACGTTTTTCCCCTCCGTTCCAGGAATCGGGCAGTAGGGAATGTCTCCTTTAAGGAAAAGGAGGAGGAGGGCTGACATGATAGCACTGTCCCAATATCCCATACTACCCTTTGGAGGCGGCGTCCAGTTTTTATATTTATTGGTATTAAAAATTATTGATTGTGATTCATTGCACAGTCAAGCAGAGATCTAGGCTGGATTTAGCATTTTTGTCCACCTATTCGCAAGGATCCAGGAAAAGCAGATTTGCTGCTTGTTTCTTCTTCTTCTTCTTCTTCTTCTTCTTCTTCTTCTTCTTCTTCTTCTTCTTCTTCTTCTTCTTCTTCTTCTTCTTCTTCTTCTTCTTC